TTATTCACCTGTATATCCTCGCATATTTTGGAGAAGCTCTGATAATTATTATTTTATCTTATAAGAGAACTAAATCCGCTAATTACATTCAATTTTGTGGGTAAAAAAATACAAATAAACTGTAACGTTTTTTTAATGAAATAAAGTGTATTACATTAAATTTTGTCAATACAAAAGGAACTAAAATAAAATATGATGCGTTATTTTTATTTATTTATAGTTAAATAAAGTGTGTAAAAAATTGATATGTGTGAATTCAAAATTTGAAAGGAGGAGATTGGGGAAGAGACACGGGCCTCTCGTGATTTGAAGGTCTCTCTTTTTTCTCGCATCAGTTTCGCTGCACTCTCTTCGTATAATAACTTAACAAGTTACAAATTGTTTTCTTATTTATATCATTTAAATCGTTAATACGCTAAATTTATATTATCTAAATTAAATCTTTGATAGAAATATTTTTTATCAGATTTTATTTAATTTTTATCGAATAAGAGTAATTTAAGATGAACCATTAAGATACTAATATGAAAACAAAAGAATATCATTCATATAAGAGCATTTTGAGTGGGGGTTGTTTATATAAGCAACTCCCTGTGTCACATCAGTTCTTTTTTATTTTATAGATTGTTTAAATTTTAATACCGGAGCTTCTATAAGTAATTTTGCTAAAATTTAAGCAACTTATAAAGTGAAAAAGAGTTGATATGACATAGGGGTTGCTTATAAGCAATCCCCACTGCAGATGCTCTAAGATTTTTTTAGTTAAAATGACTTATACTTTTCACTGAAATGTTCTTATACTTGGACAATAGTGGTGTTCATGAATCAATTTTTTGAAAAATATAAATCGAACCGTTTTATAAAAGTGTATCGGTTAACCGATCTATTTTTTATAAAGTAGATCGATTTGATTTTTTTTAAATATGAATCGGTTTTTCTGAAATTGTATTGGTTCCGTGCGGTGCAGTTATCTATTTTTTACTCATATATGGATCAGTTTTTTCAAAAAATCAAACCGAACCAAACTGATCCACTTTGTAAAAATGAATCAGATAACTGAACCGTTTTTATAAAGTGAATCGGTTCGAATTTTTTAATACGGAACGAATCTGTTCGGATCAATTTGAATTTATTTGTACATCTTTATTGGACAAAGTAAAGATCATCTTTATTTTTTCATTACTAAAGTTTTAAAAATATAAATGTGATTTTTTCAAAAGTATGCATCAGCTTCATTTTATTGATTTTTTCAAAAGTTTAGAAAATGGAAAAAGTAGAAGTAAAAAGAAATGTAGAGAATCTATTTTCACTTGAACATGATTTTCATTTTGAACAAGACATATATGTTTTATATTATAATTTAATTTTCTTATTTATATTTATAATTAATAAATTAAATTACACTTTTAGTTCTTTTATGATATAAAATTGACAATTTTGGTCATCTAATTTTTGGTTTCGTAATTTTTGTCCCTCAATTCTATAAAGATATGCAATTTTAATTTTTTGGTTAAAAATTTATTCTTTAATTTGTAATGGTTGCCATAATCTATATTAGATAGATGACATGTTAACTACTATTTAATAATAATATTTAGATTAAATTACACTTTATTTTTTTTTATTTTTATCTTTTTTTATCACTTATATGAGATAAAAAATGAAATTTAACATAAATATTTTTAAATATTAATTATCATGTTATTTATTCAATATTAAATTATGATAAATATTACAATTTTTATAATCAATAGAAGAAAAATCAATAACGGTAAACTCTAAATCTATATGAAAAATGATGAATAATAACAAAAATAACGATAAAAACAATAATATGGTAAAAAAATTAATATGTATAAAAAGGTTATTAAAAATTATAATAAAATATACGAGAGAATATGTTGTCATATTTTTTAATAAAAATTTATAATTTTTTAATTACTTAATTAGTGCCGTAACAAAAAACACTGGTTAGCATTTTCTTATTTATATTATTATTTAAAATGAAGATCACTTAAACATTTTTTTTTACGATTCAAGTAAGATTGACGACTTTAAGTTGATTTTCTTTTTTACACTCACTTTTGAAATGTTTTTTCTTTTAACTTGTGCGTGATATTTGAACAAAGTGAGTATGGTATTTTAAGTAAACACCAAATCTTCCTCTCGTGCATCAAAGATGGTAAAAATCGTTTATCGGTTTCTAGAGATTTTTTTGTGATATCTATATTCTTAAAAAAAAATTTGTTATGTAATTTAGTTCTTTTATTATATTTAATTATTAATTTTATTAATCTTATAAATAGTCAAATATTAATTATCGCAGTAGTATGTATTATCTCTCCCGCAATTAATAAAAAATTATACTACTAAGTCTATTATACTACTAAGTCTTTTGTCATTTTTATTAGGGAAATTTTATGATTTATTAAATATAATAAAAGAATTTATATTTGATTTATGCATCTTTATTTAAGATTTTTTATAACAACCACTCATTTTATTAAATTTTAAATTTAATAATTTAGAGTTTATAATGTTAAACATGTAGCTAAAACAAACATAAAAATTAAGGATAATTGAGATAGAAAAATTCAACTATAAGAAATATATGAAATATGACAGTAACTTTTTATTTTAATTAAAACACTTATGATCAAAATATTTAAATATAACAAAATATTCGTTCTTAATTGAAAAATATCAAAAATTGTGATTTATATTAGATAATAAATATTAACATGACACTTAATTGTTATTCAATTAACTAGTAGAGTTAATAACTGAATATAACGGAAGAATTAACTTATATAGTAAAATTATAATTTAAAATTTTAAATATTAAAAAAAATCTTTTAAAAACTTAATATTTTTGGGACAAAATTAAATGTTTACACGTAATTTTTCACAATTACGATTCATTTGACTTTTTTTTTATACTCTCTCCCAAAGTAATCTTTCAAAGCGATGGATGGTAATTTTTTATGTGAAATTTGTGCGGGTGGCATCATTCTAAGGGCAATTAAGTGCCCTTTCGCTGAAACAGAACCATTGAAAAAGTCAGCGATGATATGATTATAGGCATAGCCATAGGTAGTGCTTTTCAACTCCCAAAGGTCAAGAGACCAAAAACAGAGGAAGCCATTTCCATGAAACGAAGCTAGTAGTGGCACACGCCAAAACCCTTTTCCCCCACTTTTTACCCTTTATTCACTCACAATGGGAACTTCTTTATACCTATCATCAACTTTTTTTCTAACCTCACTTCCAATGACTAGGGTACCACTTTCTATTCACCAAATAAAATGGGTACCACGTTACCAACATTCATCTAGTAGCCACTCTCGTGGAAAGTGTTGGACTTCTTTTCTAAATAAATAATACGTTGAAGGAAATACTTTCCTTCTAGACATCATATTAAATTACTAATTTTAACAAAGATTTACATAGAAAGTTATAAGTGTTGTCTTATAAGGAAAGATTAAAATCCATTAAATAAGAAAGTATGTTTTATTATAAAAGTCAAGGTTATACTTAATTTTAAAGAAATTTTATACGACTTGAGTCACACTTAAAATTTAAGACAACTTTTTTATTATTGTCCTAATAGAATTCCTAACTAGCTTTTAATTAAGGACTTTAAAGTTATTCTAAAATAATATTTTTCTCATTCAACTTGTCCTTTACCTTTTTTATTGGTTAGAATTGTAATTATTACAACAAATTCAAACTTAGATATTGTCTATCTTAATTTAACCTTGTCATTAGACTAATCTTAATTATTCATTCCCTTTATTTAGAGTAGGAGAAGTTGGAGAAAAGGCAATCAAGATACAAAACTAGAATTTAAAAAATATATATCTATCCCTAACAAGAAAAAGAAGGGAAAAAACGGCATTTTTTTCTCTCTTTAAATTTCTCTCAAGAAAATGAAAAGACTAAAAATTGAAGTAAGTTTTCCAAATTATCATTCCTCTCAAGTTATTTTAATTGTTAATGAGTGTTTTATTTTATAGATATTTTTATCTTTTAAATATAAAAATTATTTTATTTTATCTACTTTTTATCTAACAAAATAAGTGAAAATGTATCTCAAAACATTTCATTCTCGTTATTAAGATAGAACAACTTTATATCAGCTTATTCATATTCTCATTGGCAATAAGACACCAAAAAAAATGCTGATTGGTAATGCAGCAAATACTCATTTGATGTCCCTTATCTCTATCCTTTACTTTTTATCGCATCACATCTTTAATCCTGTAAATAACTTGTCTCACTTCTCTTCTTATATTTCTTTTGAGTGTTAAATGAATATTTTTCCTTACTAAAATAGACATTACAGCAATCAAACCAAGTGTTCCAAACTAAACCGTTGGACCTGAATGAAGACTAAGCACGTTTGAAGTGGCGATGCGGTGGTAAATATTCGATTTGGTTTTCACGATTACAGTGAAGCAACTATTTGTCGTTTTCAATTTTTCACGTATTTTCTTCGATTAAGGAATATCCAAAGCGTATCCTAACATATGCTAAGCAGGTTGCTGTACTAAAACAGGCCTGAAGAACTCGGGCTAACTTATTGTCTACACTTTACACGTACCTGCCTTCAACATCAATGTAATTTTCTGAGTGAAGTTCCAAATCATACTTTGTGGCTGATTGGGAAAAACTATACTGGAAGGATAACGCATGTCCCTGTGAGAGTTATGATGATAACGGTATGGGAATCTTGAATCCCTATATTAACCACAGTCTTTCTTTCTGATCTTGAAGAAATCCATATTTTATCGCAAAACTAAGCGACAGAATGTTTAATTTGCAAGGGTTCTTGACTTGTCAAAGTCATGTAAGGAAGACGTTTCGCTAGAGAGGAAGACAAAGGAAACTGAACATTAAGGATTTAAAAGTACAATTAATCTAATCATATTTTTACTCTATTTAAAATTACTCATCTAGCTTCTTATTTATGAAATGGGAAAAAAAAATACAAACCCATGTATAAGATGCCAAAATATTCTTTATTACTTGTTAAAAAAGTTCGTCCAATATAACTAACAATCAATCTCATCTTACGTACCAAACTAAAAAAAACAATGAAGTTACAGTAGTAACAGAATTGGGAACAAAAAAGTCAGTCACCTAAACCGATACTAAATAGGTAAGCATTGGGAGGATTCCTGACTGCTATGGACTGAAACTAAACATTTCTATCTACCTAAAACTAATGAAGAAACCGAAAAGAAAAACTCATCATGATCATGCCCTGTTAAAAGAAAAACATTTCTCTTTTAACACTCTATATGGTGAATTTACTATACATGTTGAATTCTTCCTGCAATAATGCCATCTATGTGGATTTAACTCATTGTTGGGTTTGATTATGAATAAAAATCATAAACCTACCTACGAAGAATCATCCCGAAAACATGGCTATTACTAAACTCGCTGCCATGAATGCGACATAGATACCCACCAGACAGAATCCCCAAAACCTAGGCACTCTGAATCTGCACCAAGTGATCACCAAGAGAGACCCCATAAGGCTTGAAAGCAGAAATACAAATGCGATCACGATACCAACGTGGAAATTTAGCTTATAGGCACTAGGATATATATTGGCTGTCTGTATCACCAAAGCACTTCCGAGGCCAACAAGCATGTTAAACATTGGTCCTGCAAAGCATCCGGCCATTGCCATCGCCGGATGACCGGCTTTAGCAACTGCGACATCAGCAACAAGATCTCCCACTGAATTTCCCCACGCCAGCACCGTAAGACCCAGGAGTGCTGGCGGCAGTTTGAGAAGTGTGCCTATAGCTTCCAGGCAGTTCACCAGCTCTCCAGCTGTAGTAGATATCCAAAACACGCTCATAATAAATGCCACAACGACCACGGGTAGATGCTCTGTTTTGGGGGGTTCTTTTTCCATTACATAATGAAGAAATGCAAGAGAGAAACTTGTCATGAGCACTACTGACCAGAGGGGGAAGAGAGTGTTGGGGAGGAGGAAAACTATGGGATGATCAAATGGCACGAATGAGTTGCAGGCATACAAGAGGGCTAGTGGACAAAGTGCAACATTGGCTGATGCATAAAATCTGTTCCATTGTGATGGTGCTGGTTGAGGGATTGTCAACCTTAAGAGAGTTGAGACAGGAAGCTCCCATGTTTTAGAAATCTGTGCGCACAGAGCAAGGGATAAAGAGTCAGGATTGGAAACCTTACAACGTCTAGTAGAATAATTCAATTATATTGTACAGAACTAGAAACATCCAAGCAATGCAATGCATATAATTGTCTTACAGGGTACTGAATCACTTTTAAGAAGAGTTATATGAAACACCATTGAATGAAACTAACAGACATTACCAAATTAAAAGAATGATCATGGTAGCATCAGCTACAACAACTGTCAATCTAATTGATTTTTATACTAGAATCTTGAAAGGTTACCTGCTAAGCTTGACTTAACATTTACCAACAAAGGGATCAATTGCCTCCCCACAACCCCCTTTTGTGGATCATTAAAAGAAAAAAGGATTAACAAAGGGATCATGTCACTCAATGAAAAACATCACCTACTTTGCAAAATTATGAAGGACCAATATTTTTGGTCTTTATACCTGTTGTTATCCCTCTCTTTTATTTAAAGAAACTCACAAGTCACACCTAACGTAAGCTTCCAATTGTGTCTGGTTTCCTTCCAAATTCAAGCACACTATCATTCTATCCATAACTTCACAGAAGGATATCATATTACCAAAACTGATCACATGAAAACATGAAAAGTGGTATGGCAAACAATATGCTAAGCAGACTCAGTGCTCTTACTCTTAAAGCTATAAAACAAAACGCGTTAGGCACTCCAACTATAAGTCTATAACCTCGCTCGCTCCCAGTTTACTACATGAATCATCACAGATTAAAAATAAAAAAAAACTAGAACGCGAAAAATAAAGGTAAAGTTAAATTTGAATCATACCAAACGAAAAGCAGCGCGCAGTCCAGAAGCGCGTTTGTCTCCGTCGCGAGATCCGGAAGGTTTAACGTCGGAATCTGGTTGCACGTGTCCCTCGAGATCCGCGGAAGTGTTGACGCTGCGATTGGGCAATCCGAAATCCATGTAGAAGACGAAAGCGACGAAGAAGAAGTAGAAGGCGACGAATCCGATGGCCTGCCAGAGGAAAATCTCGGCGGAGAGGTAGACGTAGAAGAGGAAGAAGGCGGCGGTGAGGTAGAAGAGGAGGTCTCTGACGAAGGGGGCGGGATCGACGGCGAAGGGAGCGGCGTAGATGGCGACGAAGCCGACGACGAGGGCGGAGACGAAGGTGCCGGCGGAGAGGATGGCGGCGAGGCCAGTGCGGTAGTGGCCGGCGCGGAGGGCGGCGAGGGAGGCGAAGACGTCGGGGGCGCCGTTGCCGAGGGAGAGGAGCGTGACGGCGGCCATGCTGGGGGAGAGGCTGAGGTGGGAGGCGAGCTTGGTGGTGACGAGGGAGAAGTGGCGCTGCGCGGTGGTGATGAGGATGTAGAAGTGGAGGAGGAGGAAGAGGATGAGGGTGGGGATTGAGAGGGTGGAGCTTTGTGGGAAGAGGCAGTGGTAGTTGAGGAGGCCATTGCTGGATTCGTTGGAGCAGGATGCGATTGCGACCAGTGACCTACGTGCTGCAGAGGGAGGGTTTACGGTGAAGAAGAATATGAGAACGAGGGTGATTGTGAAGATGAGTGAGAGTGAGTGAATCATTGATGCCACTGCCATTCCTCTCTTCCTTTCTCCCTCTCTGCTTCCGCCATCACAAGCATCACGCCATTTCCGCGTTCCTTGCTTTAACATCTACACGCTTTCTTATTTTTTAGGATCCTTCCATGAGTAGCTTTTTTTTAACGACTTTACTGTTACTTGATTTCAACTGTAGATTTGTGATTATTTCATTTTAGAATTCTTAATCATGATCATTTTCTTTTCCTTTGATTATAGTTTATTTATTATTTATCAAAAACCGGATTATTATGTCAATAACTTTTAGTAGTTTCTCGCACCTAGTCAAGCCTATTATCCCCCATGAACTAGGTGAATTCTGAACCTAACAGCCAAACACTTGTTTCTTTCTTACACAATCATTCAATAAGTCGAAATTGTGGAATAGAGATCAGATGATTCAGATATTAGCTCAGCAAATCAAACTTAAAATATGCATTAAAATTTGAATCATTCATTCTTTGTCTAGCAATTCTGGTTTAATGAGTACGTGACGTGAAAATGTGAATTTCGTTTTGTAACTGTTCTAAATCCATTTCCGTGCCTGATTGTGATTTTGTAGACACCCATGTGAATTTGTTCTGTGTTTAATGTATTAGGGGAAAACTAAAAGATCGGGTCATAATATTAAAAAAAAAAAAAACTAGTACATTTTAATACTTAAAATGAAACAAAGTTGTACAAAGCGCATTTTGTAAATTTATTCGTGTGGCAAAATTGCAAAAAAAAAAAAAAAACCATTACAGTTGCTACCTGATCCGGGATAAAATGTTTTTTTTCTTTGTTTTTGGTACCAGAGACGTCGCTTTTCACTACCAGAAAACTGAGTAACAATTTCAAACTTTTCAAGGCGAACAATGCTCAAGTAGTTTCAACTTTCAACAGCTAGAGGGTTCATTATAGCATAATATGTTTTTTCTGGAGGAACTAAAAAAGGTCAGAACAATGCAAGAGACAATTGAAGAACACAAGCAAACTTCGGATGTTCAAGTATTCATTCAGACACTATTGATTTTACTTTCCAAAACACAAAAATCCCTTCCTGATTCTAGTTCTTTGAACCAACATTCTATATCCGCTATTGAAAAGGTTAAAGTTACAGGAAAAAAAAAATTAACTTGACAAGAAGACATCATCTATATTCTTGTGGCAATCGGTAACCTGGCATGACTATTTTATCTGCAAACATTTTGCCAGTCTTTGGCATAACATGCCAATGCATAGTCAGGTTATATTCTTTGCCACGCAAATTGCTCCCCTACACATGAGGAAAAACAAAAGAAAAGAAAAATTAAGGCCTAAAGAAATCTGAAGCAAATCATATTAATCATAAAATCCCTTGAGAGTTGTATACCTGGTCAATGAAGCGGTACTTATTCGATGTATGAATCCAAAACTTCGCATGCTCTTTAGAGGGAATGATACCATCCCATAGGGATATCTGTAAAATGGCAGTTCAAGAATCTAAACAACATACATGACACAACATGTACCAAAGATGGCAGATATGCAGAATACTATGAAAAGGCACCGCTATCTGAGTGATATGATAATAAACAAACTCTGATGTCACCGCCTCGCCGTTGAAAATTCAAAATCCACTAGCAGTTTAACACACGATTATTACGGTTACATTTTATTTTTCCTCTATAAAAAACACGGTGGCAAACTTGCAATTTAAATACTTATATTTCAAATGTAGATACCTGATTCAAGGAATTCTTTGGAGTTTCATACTCGGCAGCTAGAAAAACAAAAACCTGCAAACAATATAAAATGACACAAAGTTAAGACACTGTACAACCCTGATATTCTAGCTTCCAAAACTTTTAGAATAATAATTTATCAGAAAAAGATCTCATGGGTAAGTAATACTAAGCAGTTCCAACATTTTCATAAAAATACAATTTGGTACAAAATAAAAATGAAAGGGCAAGAATAGAAATATATATTTCATGAAATGAAACAAATTATAACAATAGATCAGGCAATTTAAACATTAAGACACATTATGATGGGAGGCATAGAAAAGAAAACAAGCACATATTTGGTTTGGATAATTTTCAAGAAATAATCTTTTTTTTCTCCAAAAGCTCTTCGAGGGTTGAGAACAAAAAAGGATTCTTTTTCACAAATAAATCAGTCATGCACAAAATTAATACAAGACATACAAACATTATCATACTTCATTCCTCCCCATCCTACCAAGAGCATCCTTCAGAGGCAAAGGAAGAAAACATTAAAAAATTATAATGCAAAATCCAAATTAAAGTCAAGAACCTGTTTTGTGTTCCATGTGAAAAGGGACTGCAAATCTGCTGATATATTCAGTGTCATGCTGACCTGCAAGAATAGAGAGGCTTCACTTCTGATTAAATAATGAATAAAGATGACATTTGAATATCAGAGAAAGGGGATTACAACAAGCTGGTTTATGACACAATGTGATATCAAAATCATAATATCATATGCAGTTTTCTGAGCATGTGCTTAGAAACATGAGCATGCAACATGTACACAGTATATACTTTGGCAAAAGCTAGATCTTTTTCTAACCAAATAGCACAATATAATTATAATTTTCACCATGCCAGGCCAGTTTAAAATTGCTTTTTATGAACTATAAAATATGCTCCACAAATCTGTTCTGTGTTCTACCATATCCAGAGTATCATACCTTAAATGCCCTAAACAATCTCGGAAGAATCTGTCGAGTTATTGTTCACGTTTCCAGTTGACAGTCTCGGACATTGGAACAGGTAAATAACATCCTAGTGAATGTATTGAGCTATTCCTTAACAATTTGTGCTTTACTTGTTAAATAAGATCGATCTTGTTTGTTTTACTAAGAGCAAGCTCAAGCTTAGCTTTAAACTCAATTATATAAATGACCCAAGGTCAATTTATATGGACAATTCTATTACTTAGAGAATTGCAACTCTATCTAGAGAACTATAACTAGTTCAAAGATTCTTTTTACTTCGTCTTATAACATAAAAATGTCTAGTAACATCACCCTGAAAAGGGAATACATTGGGAAGAGATCTGGTAACATGAAAATGTCTACTAAACTTAATAATACTGAGAAGAGATCTGATAAAGGGAAAAGCAACTATTCCAGCTATAAACGAGGTAGAAAAGTCAAACGCATGCTTCATATATATTTTAAACAAAACAAGCTTAATATTTAAATTTGCCTCGTTCATACAAATGAGTTAAACTTGAGCATCATCTTTTTTCCCCAGATCAGAGTTTCAAGTGCTCAACTTTATTCATTTACAAATACTAAGCATCTTCAATCTATGGAATTCTTTTACTACATCTCTAGTTCTCTTTCGTTTCATTTGTGGTTGCTTGTTCAGACTCTTTCGCCCCAACTGCAACAACTTTAAGTTGCTTGTTGCATGAGACTACAACCATAAACCCAAAAATTGCAGAATAAACTGCCCAAACATCAATATTCATCCCGAATTTGCAACCACTTAAACATGAAACAGAAATAAATACCACCTGCAACATAATTACGAGCTTAATATCGATACAGTCAAGTGCAAAGACATTTAGGGTTTTCATTTGTGAGTCAATTAGAAATCAGTAAATCAGCCCAACTAAGACTCCTATCACAAAAAAAGTCAACAAAATTTCAACATTGTCGCAATCCGTGATATAATGAAAAGCAACAAAAACTGTAACGTTTAAACACGATCCTAAATCTGAAGGAGGATCCAGAGAAGAAAGCGGATATGAAAAGTTATGAAGGCGTTAGACGCAAGAAGGAAGCAGCACGTTGTTTTGAGTAGGAAAACAAAGAGGAGTTACCTCGTCATTGCCGTTGGGCTGTTTCTGAAACCAATTGATGTTCAAGACCTGCATCGGGAAACACGGAGCAGAGTGAGGAAAAGGGGTGAAAGATTGAGCGTGAAAGTGAAATTGGCGAGAGAAAAGAGGGACCTGGACTTGCGCGGAGGGAGTGGGGGAGTTGAAGTTGTCGGAGAGAGAGGCCATGGCGCACATGAGGGCGAGAATCGTAACGGCAAAGGTGAGCAACGCGTTGGCTCTGTAGCCGAATGAATGCATTTTGAGGGTTTCTCTGCGCCGTCTTATTCTTGTTCTTCTTCGATTGTGTGTGTTTGATGAGAAGAAAAAGAGAGAGACAGTGGAAGACTAGTAGACTGTATTTAGGCATACATGGAAACGTTTCAGTTTTTCTGCTCTCTCATTGGATCCAACACGCCTCTGTCCTAAATCTCACTTTCCCTCATTTTCAAAATAAATAACGGACATTTATTTTTTATATATATTCTTAACTATTTTTTTCACCACAAAATAATTATACTATAATATTTTTTCAGTTTAATTTTCATTTACTATCAAAATAATAATAATAATAATAATATATTCTTATAAAATAATTATTGCAAAGATTACAAATATGACCAGACATAGGAATTTAATATTAGATAACAGTGTATTATATTATTAATATTCTATTAATATTATTATATATAATATCTATTCCTTATAATTAATTTAGTTTATAATAATAAACTTATTTTATTATATATATA